TATAATATTAATGTAATATTTTATATTAAATTAATAAATATAAATAAATATAAATAAATATAAATAAATTAATAAATATATATTCTTTATATTTATGTAAATATTTAATATTATTATATATATAATATATATAATAATATTATATTATATATTTATTTATATTTAATAATATTATATTACATTATATATATATACAGACACAGATACACACGAAAGTGTCTATTTTCGAGATTAATTCTAATACAACTGAACGTTTATTATTCGTTCATGCACAGAAGCCATAGTACCATCGATTTAACGGCTCGATTATGCGAAAATGCTATGAAACTTGATGCACCTAGCAAATACCTGGGTTGGAACATTAAAATTGAAATTATAAGCTGCCGCGGCAGATCAAATTATGCAAGAGTACATAACCGTCTAAGTGTAAATTTTCTTTTCCCTTTTGCGCACATAACATTTGCCCGCCCATAAAAGTCCTCATTAGTTATCCGTTTATCTCCTTGCTTCATCCTTGTATTCGTTTTCTTTATCCTTTATTCCCTTTTCTCTTACCTTCTACTTTCTATCTTTATTTTATTCTATATAATACTTATAAGATTAATTTATATTTTTTTTTTCGAATTCTTCTAATATTCTTTCTTTTTTCTTTATATTCTTCATCATATGTAAAATTGTTCATCGAAATAAAAAAAAAAATAAAAAAAAATAATCAAACGAATGTGATTCAATTAATTTTCATCTTATCTACGTAAAAAAAAAAAAACATGTTTCTTTATATAAATTTGTTTCATTTGTTTGTTTTTCCTTATCGATCAACGAATTGAATTGTTAATGTTTTTTTTTTTTTATAAAAATAATTAAACGAATGTGTGATTCAATTAATTTTGATTTTATCTACGTAAAAAACATGTTTCTTTATATAAAAATTTTGTTCGTTCGTTTGTTTTTCCTTATCGATCAACGAATTGCCTTAATGTTTTTTAGTTACGTCATAATAATCATATTGGTCATCTATAAATAAATAAAATGATAAAATTGTTTTAACGTTTGCTTCGAAAAACGATAAAGGTAGGATCGATAGAACGAGAGGATTCGGTTCACATTTGACGAGCGTTCATTTTCAAAATCGATGAGGCGTGATCGAGGATATCGAAAGAGATTCCTAGATCTTTCCGTTGATGTCAAGTTATCCAGAGTGTTGTTTTTCGACCGGTTCGAAAAAAGGATCGAGATGTCGATAACACGGATGATCGATGCCGAAGCTTCATCGGAAAAGAACCTTTCCGATGGACAACGACGAGACGCTCATCTTGTCGCATCTTGGCGACGTCTCATTTAATTCCTCAAATAAAAAAAAAAAAAAAAAAAAAAAAAACATGACTTCCTTTCCTTAGTTCTATAATCGATTTTATTTCTATACTAATCTTACTTACAATAATTAAACTATTTAAATATGTGCATCATAATTATCAAAGTGATTTGAGTCATAATTTAAAAAAAAAAAAAAAAAAAACCAATTATTTCACACTGCACATTATTTTACAACTAAATTCATTTCAATGTTATTATATATTATAATTAATTATTATCTACAATAAATTTGTTATTATATATAATGTTTGTTATATTTAAATATTATATTCAGTATAAAAATATAAATATTAATATAAATATAAATATTTATTTATATATAATATAATTAATTATAATATATTTTATATTATTATATATTGTAATTTATATTATTTATATTTATTATATTTATATTTATTTTAAATATAATTTTGTAAATATCTTCAAATAAATGATAATATAACTTAGACCACTTACAGAATTATGGGCACAATTAATTATTCCAATATCAAGTATGAAATCCATGTATGAAATTTGTGATACATTGTATTGTTAATTTTGTTTCTTTTTTTTTTTCTTTTTTTGTTATATAAATTTTCCAATTTAATATTACAATACAATATCGTGATTTTTTAAATTATACATTGATATTACTCTTTTGAAAATTTACGATCACAACAAATTTTATTACTACTATATAGTTATATCAACTCAATAGTTGAAATCGTTAAATTCATAAAGCACTCTTTGTCTATTAATAGTTCCCGTTAGTTACGATAATGAGAATCTTTGAGATGACTTAATGCACCAACATCAGAAATTACGCGATGTGTGTTTTAAAGTAAAAAATGAAAAACGTGTATAATC